TACTTTGGACATGTTGTAAGGAGAGACCGGTCCTTGGAGATGGACATCATGCTTTAGAGGGTGGAGGGACAGCGCAGGAGGGAAGGCCCTCTATGAGGTGGACTGGATTGATTCAGTGACTGGGTTAATCAGGATGAGAGTGTCAGAGACAGTGCAATTGGCACAGGACAGAACAGAGTTTAGGGCTGTTGTATATAGGGTCGCTGTGAGTCGCAAGCAACTCTATGGCATATAACAACATAACAACAATTCTCTTGTTCTCTTTGAATGGCTACCTCCTAGTCTATGTACAGGTTCTGAAAGAGCACAGATAAATGCTAGAATTCCCATCCTTTCCTATATTGTCCATAATTTATGATGATCTACATTGTGGAATGCCTTTGTATAATCAGTAAAATACAATAAACATCTTTCTCGGATTTTCAGTTAAGATTCATATGACAAATGGATCTTTCTTTCTTTTTTTTTTTTCAAATGGATCTTTCTTTCCATGGCTTCTTGGGTGTCCGATTTGTATTTCTGGCAGAGTCAGGGTCTAAAGCACGTCCCATAGCTCCCACCATCCTTCAGACCCAAGGTGCCATGCTGGGCCATGTTTATGCCTCTGAGTTCAATACAGCAAGCTTCTCAGAGATTCAACACTTGGGCTTAATTGTGCAGGCAGTAGAGAGAAGTTCACAGCAGCATCAGGTCCCATGTAGTGCTCCTTGGGACTAGGAGTTACAAAGCTTGGAGTCAGCACTGTGGGGACACATCATAAACACAAGTTCCCAGCAAAACACTGGGTAAAAAGATCAGGAAGTCTCTGGGTTCAAAGGTTTGATTTATGCAAAGTTCACACTTACTAGACTACCGTAAAGCCTATTGCATGAAAATGTTGAATTAAATACAATGTTTATCAAAACGAAAAAGTGCTCTATTTTATGACTTGAAAACATTGCTTCAGTATTTCATGGGGTCAGGGAAGAAGTCATCTGACTTTTTAAGTTGGATTGCATGACCTTTGACACTGTTGGCTGCATAACCTTGTATTTGGCTTTAATTTTCTTCTTAATTGCCTCATAACCGTGCCTGTCCTGAATTAGTTAAAATTTCAACTCTGAGACAGCTTTAAGAATGGATTTCGTTCTTAACCTAGTAACTGCTTGTGTCTGAGGGCAGACTAGTGGACTCCAGCCTGCCTCTGGAATTTATACAACCGAGTGCTTCTTGTAAATCAATATAGTTAAGGTGCCAGGTGTGCAAAGGACTCTGGTACTGGGAATCTAGGATGTAAGGGGCTAATTTTGCCCTTAGAGCAAGGGGCAAGAATTTACTAGACCCTAATCCCCTTCTTCGACTAATTGACAGGTATTTCTGCCTCAGTGACACTCACTTGTAGAGCTCAGTGAACTGTTTGTGTAGAAGCAGTGTGTTGACTTCCTGGCCTTGCAGTTTGAGGTGGCCCCAGTGCTCCTTCAGCACTTCCAGCTGCTTCCAGAGTATCAGGAAGGACCTCAACAGAGCAAGGGATGTCAGGGCATCACGTGAGCCTTCTTGAAGTGCAGAGGCCTTTGGACAGCTTAGGAACCAGCTTCTGAATTCAAGCCTTTTGGGCAGCTCCTGCTGAAAGTATGACAAAAGTCATTATTTATTAATCATGATTCTTTACTAGAGAACCTGTCACACGTACATCATGCCAAATAAAGCATTCTTTGGGCCATCGTTCACAAACCTATAGCACAAATAGTGCCCAGACAGGTTAACTATCCCCTCTGAAAGAACAGTGCATAGAAAAGATGAAAATGTTTCAGTATCAACTTGTGTTTCAATCTCATACCACTCAAGTATCTCAGAGCTGAGTGTGTATGGATCTGTGTTAAGGAGAGAGGAATATTTCAGGAAAAGAGGGTGAGGATAGCCATACAATCTGAAGAATATCTTCAAGATCATGGAATTAAAGATGGGAAAATTACTGAATAAATTATTGCTCAACAATAATACCAAAAGTAGAAATGAAAATAATTAGGCAGATAACATTAATTTTGATTTTATTTTATTATTTGACAGGCAATTTTATTTGGAAATTATAACTTTCTCATTTATTTGCCACCAATGCTTTCATGAAATAAGTCTTTTCTTGAGGGACTGACTACCAAGCCTGGAGAATGCAGAAGGTATTGCAGCTTCTGTTCTCCTGCAGCCAGTGGTGTGAGGGTCAAGTCACCCACAATCTGACAGACAACAAGGACCTGCTTCCAGATAAGAATTTAACCACTGCACCAACACAACTCTTTGGGAAAATCCTAAATACCCTTAAATGAAACATAGCAACAAATGAGATTAATTAAATGATATTTGGAAAGTCAATTTATTTTGTGACTATGCTCATGGTGTCCACTTCCTAAACAGCATGCCTCTGGAAACTCTATGAACTTTGATAAATGACGAGAGTTATAGGAAGGCTTTAGGCCTTTTGTTCATAGGGTTGCCATGAGTCCTGCTCTACTCAACAGCCATCAAAAACAACAATATGGTAACTTTTTACATAAGTGATTTAATGGACGGGAGAAGGAACAGGAAGCAGAATAAAGATAGTGGGGGAGGGTAGATGTCGGGGAAAGTCGGACCTTAGTCAGAAATGGAAACAAAGAATGGTAAATAGAAGGATCAAGAGCTCAGCCTGCTCCTTGAACTTGGCACTTCGTGGTCTACTGCACACAGCTTGGCAGATGTTCTGAGTAAATCATGTGATTCTGCTGTGAAATTTAGATGGTTTGTTCAAGTTCACTGAATTTCAGCCACTAAGGCACATGGGAAATCTATTGGAAGGGTGCTGGGGGGAAAAAATTCTACCTTAATAAAAGAGCAGAACCTTACAAGAAGAAATTTTTAGCTTCTGTTTCCATTTTGAGGACAAGGAAGATATTTTGTGGACACACCCAATATGACAGAACTTGAGTTCTTGATGACATTGTTGAGTGGCTTCTAGACTTCTTGTAATGGAAAACTAATAAACTCTGATTTAAGGCACAGCTAGTGGGGCACCAGCTAGTAGCAAGAGCATCTATTTGAAGGTAGATGGAAGGTTAGGAAAAGCTTCCCAAGGAGAATAGTTTCCAAGTGGCAACCTGATGATTGTTGTTGTTAGGTGACATGGAGTAGCTCTGACAGTACACAGAAGAGAACAGTGCCTGCTCTTGCATCATTCTCATAATTGCTGATGTGGTGCTCGCTTTGGCAGCACATATACATAATTGCTGATGTGCTTGACCCCATTGTTGCAGGCAGTGTGTCAGTCTATGTCATTGAGGGTCTTCCTAATGATCATGTTTTTGGTATGTGCTGATGAGTTCAAATCAACTCATACCTGACCCCTCAGTGGGTGGGTTTTCAGAGGCTCTAAATAGCACTAGAGGAGTCTGTCCATCGTTCTCCCTCTGAGCAGTTGGTGGATTTGAACTGCCTGTTTTGGGGTTGACAATGCAACTTGTTTTTACCCACTAGGGCACCAGAACTCCCTAATTATTAGCTTCTGATGATTAGTAAGAGGTAATCAGATGATGAGGTAGAGAGTGGGAAAAAGGAAAGTTTTCCAACATAGAGACCAGGCTGAGTAAGAGGACAGGAGAGTGAAAGCAAGTGAGCATGGTATATCTGAGCAAATGAGAGAAGTTGAGAAAATAAATATTGGTAGGAAAAAAAGTCATAAAGTTTAGTTACAGCATTTGGAAACTGTTGAGTGTAAAAGAAAAAAAATACATAATAATATTTCCATTTTTCTCACTTACTATTCAATTATGCATGTCTTGTTCCAGATTGATATTGTCTTTTTATCCATTAAAAATAATATTTGCATTTCAAAAATATTATCCTTGTAAGTAGATTTAAAGGAGGGACTAATGAGTATTAGGAACTCAGGTTCATATTCTTATTCCAGCTATAGTAGATGGCATTGAATTGGATTCTGGTGATGGTAGGTGGAGGATAGAAAAAAACTATTCAAAAGGATTTAAATAGTAGGATAATAAATCTTGGTCTCTGGTTGTTACTCAGATTGTTTGGTTTAAATAACTGAACAGGTAGTGGGATCTTGCATTGTTGGGAAATATAAGAGGACCAAGTGCTGCAGAGGAGCTGAGTTTGTGATTCACTGTTTCTGAAATAAAGCATTTTAGTGAATATATCTCGTAGACAGTTGAATATATTGATCTGATAGAAGAAAGATTTGGATGTGACTTAAACTGCTGATCTTTTAGTTAGTAGCCTCATAGTACCCAAGTGAATTTTGTGTAAGAGCCATCACAGCTATAAAAGTAGAGGGTTTGCGTAGGGAGAGTCAGCAGTGGAGCAGCATAGCAGTTAAATATATGATTCTTGCTGGAAAAGAAGAGGACTTGAATTTACCGGAGATCTCAAGGACTTCAGTATAGATTATACCTCAGCATAAAGAAACAAAAAATTCTCATGACTGGATTAGTAAGCAATGCCATGACAGGAAGAGAAGAGACTGATGTTGTCAAGGATTTCATTTTTCTTAGATCCACCATCAGCACCTATAGAAACAGCAGTCAATAAATCAAAAGATGTATAGAATTGGGTAAATTTGTTGTTAAAGATCTCTTTAAAGTGCTTAAAAGCAGGAATGACATTTTGTGGACTAAGATGTTCTTGATTCAAGTCATGATATTTTCCTTCTCCTTTTTTTTTAACAAATCCATAATTTTATTTGCTTTTCAGTAAGTTTAAAGTCATGGTATTTTTCAATTGCTCTGTATGCACGTGAATGTTGGAAAATTAATAAAAATAATCCAAGAAAAGTTGATGCCTATGAATTAGCGAAAAGTAGTGAATATACCATGGACTGCCAAAGGAACACATTTGTTTTCAAAGAAGTGTAGCCAGGGTTCTCCTTAGAGGCAAAGATGATCTTACCTAATTTGGACATGTTATCCAGAGGGGCCAGTTCTCAGAAAAGGCCATGATACTTGAACTATGTTCTTCGGGTTGGCAGCACAATCCTTACCACTAGACCATCAGCACTTCATGGCAAAGTAGAGAGTCAACAAAGGAAAGGAAGACTCTCAATGAAATGGGTTGACACAGTGACTTCAGCAATGGACTTGAGCACAGACAGGGTTGTACAATCTGCTGTACAAAGAGCAGCTATGAGTCAGAGACAACTTGACAGCTCCTAACAACATCATCATCAAGGGGCCCAGACTGCTAGGTTGGAATTCATATATTTTTCATCATTAGCCATGTGACTTTGGACATACTACTAAAATCTTTTGGAGCCTCTGTATTCTTACCTATAAAATGAAAATATTAAAGAATACTATTATTATTGGGAGAATTAAATAAATTAATGCATGTAAAGCACCTGAACAGACCTCAACTCCTAACTAGTAGAAGTAGCAATAGTAAGAAGCAGTAGTAGTCAAAATGGTTTAGTGAGTTTGGCACAAGAGGTACAGTGCCTAGAGTCCACATGATGTTTTACTTCATCTTAAAAATCAGGTAAATAGGAACTTTAGGTTGAATAAAATGTATTAAGATGTTTGTCTTTATACTAACATAGAAATAAAATATGATTTTAGATATTTTTAAAAATAAATGGTCTAAACTATAAAAGTGCCCAAGGTCTATGAAAGTAAATATATGGCTCTGGTAGTAGAGTTACATGTCATCAAACTAACCCTAATTCATAGTGACTTTGTAGTGACAAAGGAGAGACTCCTATAGGCTTTCTTGGCTGTAATATTCATAGGAGCATATCACAAGGTCTTTCTCCCATGGGGCCACTGGTGAGTTTAAAATGCTAACTTTCAGTTAATGGACAAGCATGTAATCCCTGTACTACCAGAGCTCCTGCTAGTAGTTGTGAGATGCTATTGAGTCAAGTATGACTCATAGTGACCCTATCAACAGCCAACATGAAGCTTGCCCTATCCTGTGCCATCCTCGTCATTGCTGACATTCTATTGATGAAGTCACCACGTCAATCTATCTTGTTGAGGGTCCTCCTCTCCTTTTTGTGTACGATGTCCTTTTCTAAGTAATAGATTCACCTATCTACATGTCCAAAGTATGAAAGACTAAGCTTTGTCATCTTTGCCTCTAAGGAGAATTCTGGCTGCACTTTTCCCAAGACCTATCTGTTTATTCTTTTGGCAGACCATGGAATGTTCAGTATTCTTCTCCAGCACTACAACTCAAAGGCATCGATTTTTTTTTCTGTTATCCATATTCATTGTCTATCTCTCCGATGCATAGCAGATGATTGAGAAGACCATGGCCTGAATCAACCATCACTACTCATCAACATTTTGGAGAGGTGTCTGACAGCAGACTTGCTCAATGCAATCAATGTCTCCTAATATCCTGATTGCTAGTACCAAGGTATTGATTGTTGATGCAAGCAAGATGAGATCAATAATAACTTCCATCCTTTCTCCGTCTATCATAATGTTGACTGTTGGTCCTGTGGTAAGGACCTTTGTTTTCTTGACGTTGAGATACAATCCATACTGAAGGCTGTAGTCCTTGATCTTCTGCAGCAAGTGTTTCTGTGGTGTCAAAGGTTTATTTTTCAAAATGTCCCCTCTAGGCAATGATTAACTATTTGTTTGGTTCTTTTTCTGACATATTTATTGTATTAAGGAGAGAAGATCAGCATGGGAAACAAGCCACATCCTACTAGGCTTTGATAAGTCCATAGGACCTTACTGCTCTTGTTTTCTTTTTGGGATGCTGCCTTTCCAGCTACACTATAACTGATAGTCTATAATGCTCACCAGTTTCTAAAGCTAGCCTGCATTCCTACAGTCATATTAGGTATTCACCTGATTGGTTTGAGTCTCTGGCAGACCTTCCCAGGAACCACTAAACTCAAGGGACATAGATGAATGAGGGACTGAAGATGTTGGAAATCATGGAGCTATACAGCAAATCAAACACTGGGGACAAAGTTGGTCTGCTCTTCTTATGACTAGTCTGCTGCGAATCTTAGAATGAATTATAAATACAGTTTCATATTTTCCTCACTTTTAGCAAGCAAAGTTGTGTCATTTGCATAATGACATTTTTTGATGAGTCTTCTACCAATCCTGATGCCACACCCTTCTTCATAAAGTTTGGCTTTGCAAATTTTCTGCTCAGCCAAATTCAACAATGGCCAGCATTTTAGGGATTAGCAGAAGTTAAGAAGCCCACAAAGGAGTCTGAAAGAGAGTGGTCAGTGATGCTGGTGGAAAACTAGGAGAATCCTACATGGAAGCCATGGGCACAGAGGGTTACAATGGGGTTACTAAGAAAGGGACTAAAATGTGTCTAGTGAATTTAGTGACAAGAGAGTGGTTTCTGTGGTGTGATGGGGAAGAAGTTGTTATCACTAGGCCACCAGAGTGGGGGAAAAGTTGATTGCAGTGTTTTGATAAGTAGATGGAGAGCAAGGGAATAGAGATAGCTGGTGTAGATAGCTTTTTAAAAGTTTGACTTGAAAAAAAAGAGACTCAATACATGGAGCACCTGCAGAATACCAAATGTTCAGACATATCTCTAATTCTGGATACACTCAGAATTGTTTAACATAAAATTTATGAAACTAAATGAGCTGATGGCACAGTATCTTACAAGTTGGGCTGTTAACAGACAGCTCAGCAATTGGAAACTACCAACTGCTCTTCAGGAGAAGGATAGGCAGTCTCTGCCTATAAAGATTTATAGCCTCGGACTCAACAGCAGTGCGTTTGATTTGGATTTTGCTAGAGGCTCTTGGTATATTAAAGACTTCAGAGGGACAACCTAGAGAAGAGAATTTTTTACTAGAATTCCACCATCAAGTTGAGTGATATATTTGAGAGTCCAAGACTGAAATGTTCTCTGAGAACCTGTATTTCATCCCTCTGGCCTCCTTATTCCACTTCTATACATGTGAATGTCTCATAAGCAAAAACATCCAGCTGGAGTGTGCATTTCACTTGGTTTCAGCAGACCTGTTATAAGCTTTGTTCTGTTTTGAAAATTTAAAAGAAATGGATATATCACTGATTGGGATTTATAGTGAAAGAAATATTTGAAGCTGCTTTCACAGGACATTTCTACTTCTAAACTTCTCAAATGTGGCATCATAATAGACCTGATGTTCAACAGAAGAGACTGTGGTGAACAGATGCAGCTCTCTAGCCCATGCCCCATATAGAAAATGCCTCTTACAATGCATCTCTGGACAATTACATGCTCATTCATCATGAATTGTGGTTGATTGCTGTCAAGCCAAGCATGACTCATAGCAATCCTATGAACAAGACCTGAAGAAGCCTTTCTATAACTATAGTCGTTTCTTTAAGTTCATGGAGTTTCCAGAGGCATGTTTTTTAGGAAGTGGATGCCACTCCTGCTTCCAAACCTGTCTTAAACTGGGAACTCCACCAAACACTGTCCCCCATGGGTAACCATGATAGCATTTAACACCCGAATGGTACAAGATTCACCATCACAGCAACCCCAGGTCAACTGACAGAAATAGACAGAAGAGTGCTGTACTACTTAGAAGAATGTTCCTCCAAAATATAAGAACAACCGACTTTTAAATACAAAGGACCTCCACAATACCTGTGTATTTTTGCCCTCTGTGGCTTGTTGTCTTGGAAGGCTTTCCACGATCATGTGATAGCTGCTCAGAATGACATCATCCATTAGCAGCTGAAGGCCGACCAGTTCTCCATGAGCTGTCTTACGGTCACGGTCATTCAGTCCACTTAGACACAGCTAAAACCAAGAAATTGATAGTAATTTTGACATTTTAAAGACATTTATGTACCTTTTACATGTGGTTTTGAGAAAACAGTTCAAGCAGTTGCTACTACAAGTCCCACCCTCTTAGCCATTAGACCTCAAATTCATCATCTTTGAGTCAAATTGACTTACAGCTGACCTTCCTGTGGGGTTTCGGAGGCTGTAAATTGCATGAGATGAGACTGCCCATCTTTCTCTTGAAGATCTGCTTGAGATTTGAACCACCAGAAAGGTGCCACCTTTAGGTTAGCAGAGCAACTCCCTGTGGACCAGACCCCCTTCAACTACTAGGATAATCATAAAAAACAGAGTAACGGTTCTAGCCTAAAGCTCTTCTTATTATATTAGACTTGGCTCTATAAGGAGTTAGCAACATCCCCAGTCCTTAGAACAGTATCTGCATATATGGGACCCCTCAGCGACCAAGGTGAAAGTTATGGGCTGAATGACATTGCTGGGAGAGGTTAGCTTTGCACTACTGCTTAAAGAAGGCAATAAAGACTAATGTGCTTGCTGCCAACTAGCAGATCAAAAAGAGGCAGACTGTTATAAGCAAAACTGACCTTGTGTTTGTTTACAGTACCTTGTGTCTGGTCCTCAAAATACACAAACTCAGAGAACTCCACATGAGACAGAGACATAGAAGCAGAAGTTTTTCTGCTAAACCTGAACCTTCACCTTAATAAAATCTGATGTGACTTTATTATTCACCTCAGTGGAGTATCTATATTTTCTTGACCATGTCTTGCTAAGAAGAGTTACAACCCCAACAAATCAGATCTTAAGTTATTGCTAAAATATTCTGAGACTTTAAATAATAAATATCTTTGATGCTTTATGTTTGGGGTTTTTTTTAAGGAGGAAAAAGTTTATTAGAACATAATATGGATCATGGTCCTTTGGGGTTTTATATTGGAATTATATTGAGGCTGTAAGTGCCTTTGGTTCATGACCTCAAAAATGATAATAATAAATGTAGAGGGGCTCAGACATATTCTCTCATTGTCTGAAGGTTCTTCCAGAGTGTCTGGGACCAGGAGCTTATTCAAGGTGTATACCTGGCATTTCCCCTAAATTTCTGTATTTGTTGGATGAAGGTCTCCAAATTCTTGAATTCCAAAATCTGTGCTTGAACAACAATGAATCTGTTAAATACCTCATAAAATGATCAACCTTGAAGGCATTATGCTGAGTGTAGTAAGTCAATCACAAAAGGACAAATATTTTATTGTGCCACTGCTAGAAAAAGTCTAGATATAAGCATTCTTTTAAAGTCATCAGTGTGGCAGGGTAATGAGGACCAATCATTAACTAGAGGGCAGAAACATATTAACTTGTTGGAAGGGAAAGGTGATACACAGTGGAGAGAGGTCAGCACAAAATTCTCTCCTAACCACTGAATTTTACTTTGCCATGGGAAAGGGCACGTTAACCTATCCACAAGAGGGTTCACTGGTCTCATCAATCCACAAGTATATTGAATAGCCTTGTCATTAAATTGAGTGGATCTAGCAGCAGAAAAGTAGAAACCTTATCACCAGCAAAGAAGAAGAATCAAGAGATTGTAATGCATTCTTCAGGATCAGAGTCTTGCACCAGCAGACCAGGGCCTATGGAAGCAACAGCTATAGCAGGCACAGCAGAGAGCTAGTGACCTGACATGAGATGGAGTGGACCTTGGGACTGCTATGCCATTGAACCAAAGCTAAGAGTCTTTTACTCAAGTTTGTTGGAGAACTGTGGTAGGGAAAATCAATATTGGCAGGACTGAAAACTTTGTAACACTGACCTAAAGTTGAAAGGCTCAAGGCTAAGGTGTCCACAAGCACATTTTGGAAGCTGTCCTGACTGATTATATTCTGCTACTAACTTGAATGATAACTTTTTACTTCCCCCAAAATGGTTATGTGTGGTCTGTGAGCTATAACATCAGATTTTGGCCCCTGTAAAGTAGTAAGATTGGTATTGGGATAAGCAGAAAGAGGTTCAGGAGCATGGGGACATGTGTGACCTCATGGGAACTGGTTTTGTGTTATTGTTGTTGTTAACAGGGACAATTCCCCTTGGTGAAGTTGGTAAAGGTCATATATGGCTCTACCCACATGGCCTTTGTTCTTTTTACACAATTCTATACACATCAGTGACATATATATTCCTTCAAACTTATGAACTCCAAGAGCAGCACTGGGCCAGGATAAAGCTAAGAAGGCCAAAAAGTTAGAAAAGAAAGAGAAACAAAACCAGTACACACAGAGAGGAAATGGGAAGAGTGCTGCTATATTGCTGTCAATGTCATGAAGTGAAATGTATGTGGATTGTTGACTGGAAAACCAAAATATCTATAAACATTTACCCAGAAAAGAGACAAAACACACCAGAAAAACCTCTTGAATATGGGTTGTACTCCTGTCTTCTAAGAATTTCAAGCAAAAGAGGAAAAACTGTCACATTCTAGAAGTAGAAACAGGAGCCCTGGTGACACATATGTGAACCCTTGGCTACTGTGGTCTTAAGTTTATTGTTCCAAATAGCTTCCCTAGTCATTTGATTTTTATTTTACCATGTGGATGAGTGGGAATATGTGACTAATACATAAGGGGATTGGCTAATTTTACCATTTAATTGAGTGAGTCCAGCAGTAGAATTGGAGAAATCTCATTACCAGCAAAGCAGCAGCAAAAGAATTCAATGTGTGCTTTGGGGCCAGAGATTCCTGTGCCAGCCAAACTAGGACTAATAGGAGCAGCTTCCATAGCAGCCACAGCAGACAACCAGAAACCCAACATTAGACAGAGCTGACCTTGGGACTGTCACCCCCACGGAACCAGAGCTAAGAGCCTTTGCCCAAGTTTGCTGGCCAACTCTGTGTGTGTGTGTATGTGTGAAGAGCCACTACTGGTGGTATTGAAAGCTTTATACCATTGACCTAAAGCTGTGAGGCTAAAGGTTGAGTTGCCTGTAAGCACATTTCAGAAGCTGTCCTGACTATATACTGACATTGTGTACCATAGAGTTGGAACTGACTCATATCTGAGCCTCCAGTGGATTTTCAGAGGCAGTTAATCGCACAAGGGGAGGTTGCCCATCCTTCTGCTGCAGAGTGGCTGGTAGATTTGAACCATGTGCTTTCGGGATTGTATTGCAGCTTCTTGCCACTAGGCCACCTGAGCTTCCTATATTCTGCTACTAACTGAATTATAGTCTTTTGACTTCCCCAATATGGTTCTGTGTGGTCTGTGAGCTATCACATCAAATTTTGAACCTAGTAAAACAGTAATATTGGTTTTGGGACAAGTAGAAAGAGGTGCAGAAACATAAGAGAACATGTCTAACCTCTTGGGAATTGGTTTGTGTTGTTGATATTGTTCACAGGGAAAGTTTCCCTTTGTGAAGTTGACAAAGGTCACATATGGCCATCCCCATGTCACCCTTGCTCTTTTTACAGCTAGTAACCCAAAGGTTGCTGTTTGAAACCTACCCAGTATTAGAAAGACCTGGTTCTTTGCTTCTGTAAGGACTACAGCTAAGAAAACCCTATGAAGCAGTTTTACTCTGTTATATAAGTTGCTGTGATTTGAAAATAGATGTGATAGCATGCAATAATGACAACAAAGCCAAAGCAAACAAAATGTTGTACAATACCTTAATTAATGCTATGTATTACATCCCAGAATGCAAACATAAAAAAACTAACTTGACCACTGGATCCAATGTGATGAAAAAACAAGTGGATTTCTCACTATTATTATGTACTATCAAATTGGAACTGACTCATAACTGACCCTTCAGCAGGTTTTTGGAGGTAATAGGAGGAGGTTGTCCATCTTTCTTCTGCAGAACAACTGATGCATTAAAACAGCATGCCTCTCCACTGGGAGCATAACTCCTTATTACCAGCCCACCAGAGCTCCCTGGACTACACACCACCAATTACACAAAGCAAGTCCATGCCCACCTTGCTTCTTAAGAATCCCACCCTGGGCTCATAGCTTTCTCTCTCTCACTCTCTCTTTTTTCCCCCTACTAGTTTATTTTAGAGAGCACTACAATGGCCTAGTGGACAGAAAGTTATGCTACCAAGCCAAGGTGGGTGATTTTAATCTGCGGCCCTCAGGCCTGGTTTTAATTGTTGTTCCCCACCCCCCCCCCAAACATTTTTCTAAGTGGTATAGCACTGGTCTGTGCATTGCTATACAGAGGTAACTCGTGGTTGCTGTGATGCTAAACACTGACAATCATGTGCCAAATGCGATAATGGTTACCTATGGTGGACAGTGTTTGGTGGAGCTTCCCAATTAAACAAGCTTAGAAGCAGGAGTGTCATCCACTTCTAAAATGGCTTGCCTCTGGAAACTCTATGAACAGTACTCAGGTCTTTCATTCCTAGGGTCATTATGAATCCTCTACCACTCAACGACACTTAACAACAACAACAACAACAACTAGTTTATTTACAAAACTCGAATACAAACTCAAACAAATTCTTTCAATTGTACAACCCAATGATTAATCCTCCCCTTCCCCTGCACATCCACATCTCTCTGCTTCCAGCCTCTCCCATCCCTTCTGGATCCTTATACTCATTCTACAATAATGGTTTTATATAATATTTATCCTTGTGGGACTGAGTTCACTCAGAATAATGTTCTCCAGTCCCTCACAAGTTAGGTAATAACTTACAAAATTATTACTCCTGTGTGCTGCATAGTATTCCACTGTGTGAATGTACCATAATTTCTCAATCCATTTGTTTGTGGTTGGACATTTGGGCTGTTTCTAATTCTTGCAGTGGTGAATAATGCTGCTATAAACATTGGTGTACAAATCTCAGTTTGTGCTTTAGTTCTCATATTCTCAGGGTATATTTTTTTAGGGTTTATTTCAAATAGTGGAATAGCTGGGTCATGTGGAATTTCTATGTCCAGCTTTTTGAGGAAGCGTCAAACTGCCTTCCAGAATGGTTGTACCATTTTACAATCCCACCAACAATGTATAAGAGTTCCTTTCTCGCCACATCCTCTCCAACATCTATTACTTGCTGCCTTGTTAAACTTGGCCACTGTTACTGGAGTGAGAGGGCACCTCATTGTGGTTTTGATTTGCATCTCTCTTATTGCCAGTGATTTGGAGCTTTCTTTCTTTGAGGAGAAAATCTTTGTAAAATGGTCTTTTTCAAGAGTATAAATTTTAATTCAATTCATAATCCAGAGGTGATCTTTGACAGTGAGGAGGCTTTAAATTGGCAAGAATAGTTATACCAAGAAGTGATACAAGCACCAAATAATGCCAGTTTCATATGTTGCTGGTAGGGTAGTAAATTGATATAGGCTTCCAAGTAGAGCCACTTGCTAATAGCTACCAGTATTAAAGGGAAAAAAAAAGAATGTTAAAGCACTCATACTTTCTGACTAAGCAACGCCACTTTTAAGAATTTAAAGAACAATGAGAGATGCTGAAGATGAGGCTCTATGGGGAAGTATTTTTTATAGTGCTTCAAGTTGGAAGCTGTCTAAATATCCAACGTTATATGTGTTACATAAATTCCAGTGAAGTCCTACAATGAAATATTATTAAGTCATTACATGATGGCATTTAGAACTTCTTAGTATATAAAGCACATGAAAACAAGACTGTACAGCTGAATAGGTAGTGTGGTGTCAGTTTCTCTTAAAAGTACAAATATCAACACATGAGCACAAGGAGAATACTGGAAAAACTACGATGTAAATTGTGATTGTTCCTCAGTTGTACATCCATGATTTATTTTTTAAAGCATTACAATAGTTTGACTTTTTAAAACTTTCCTATATATGGAAAATTTTGAATATATGAGAAAGCAAGCATTATAGTTTACTGAGTTAATCATTCAGCCCTCACAATAGCTAAGCTAGTCCTATTGCAATCTCATTCACTTCCCACCTCCATATTGAAGCAAATTTATGGTTGATTTCATGCTGTTCTTAATATTTTCTAACACGTCGCCACAAATGATGGTAATACATAGAAAAAAAAATGTGTTTCTAAACATGGTCGTCAATTTAAAAGTGTGCGGCAATGTGTTAAATGGTTTTTTAAATTAAAAATGCAGCAACATTTATTTGAATAATCAGGTGAAAAGTTACAAACATTTCAGAATTCTCCTTATGAACTGAGCTTACGACATTCTCTTTCTATCCCTGTTTCATAAATGAAGCAGGAGTGACACACCTTTGAACTTACAACTTGGGGATTTTTCTAGGAGATTCAGAGATGGGAGGTGGCTGGCTGCTCTTCCAGAAACTGCTGATCATGGGAACTTCAGCTGAGACAGAGATCAACTGAGAGCATGATGTTTGTCTGTTGTAAAAAACCAGGGCTCTCCTTTCAGCATTTTATAAAGAAAATTCACCCGCCATGACCCATAGGCTGAATGGCAACCCAATTTTGCAGAATAAGTTCAGCTTTTTGAGTGATAAATGCAATTTATCCTACCTGCATATTGTATTCTAGAGTGTCTGGGCTGCTACACATAACTGGAAATGGTCCATCATCTTCCATAAATGCTCTCCAAGGGAATAGTACAACAGCCTAAAAGAACCAAATAGCAAATGTGCTAATTCTGTATTATGTCAATAAGTAAAAGACATCTGTATACGAATAGGATATCTGTGAGCGCACCCTAAAACACTAGTGGGTGATTCATTTACTATGCAGAAACACTTCTTGATGAATTGTTCTTAATAACATAGAGGAAAGAGTAAAAACTAATTTTCCATCCAAAAGGTGACATAACACAGAAATTTCTTAAGAGTTCAGTGTAGAAGTTCCAGAATAGAATGACTCCAATGGAGCATACATATACAATATAAAAAGTACCTTTATTCATATGATCACAATATTACAGACTATAAGAAATTTTCTTTATCAGCGTTAAGATCCAGTTCTACGTGATTTAAGATCAATGCTGCACTATGTTGCCTGTAAGCTTCTCTCTCTTCCACATCACTGTCCAATGTTGAAGGCATCTTTTACTCCTGTGGAACCATGGACAGTCTAGGATGTGATGGTGTTATGCGTCATAAAGTTGGAACCGACACATAGCTAACCCTTCTGTGAGTTTCTAAGGCTATAATTCACACTGAGAGATTGCCCATTTTTAATCCTAAAGAGTCGATGGTGGATTAGAACCACCTGCCCTTGGGTTGGAAATGCAACTCCTAACCCACTAGGTTACCAGAGCTCAGGAAGTGGTAGGCCTGACTAATCCACTCCATTCTATACTTCAAAGGGAGTTCTGGTGGCTTAGTGGTAATGAGCCACACTGCCAACGCAAAGGCATACGGTTAGAATTCACAAGGTGCTCTGAGGGAGAAAGATGGGCAGTCAACTCCCATGTGAAAACCTACTGGAGGTTCACCTATGGGTTCATTCCAACTTGACCGTACACAACAAGTATACTTCAAAATGTGGTACTGACTTCCAGACAATTCCTGAAGTTTGCTTCACATTACTTCAGGTAGCAGGAAACCAAGACACTTGCATTCATCTAACTTTAGGCAATATTCAAGGAAGTTGAAGCTAAGGGGGAAGGCTTGGGCCAAGAGTCACTGTCTTGTAGCTAAAGGAGGTGAAGTGTATGTCACTTGGTATCATGAAGGCTATACTCCATGACATAAAAACATCAAGTAAAAAATTTTAGAGTCAAAAGGCCCAAGTTTGTGAGTTAGCTTTAAAGATGTATCCACAAAGTCTTTGATGTCAGTCCCATATAGATACAGCTTAATTCCTTTCCCCTAAGTAACATGCTTCTGACGACCTGGGATGCCTCTGAAAACCTGCTGGGGGTTCAACTATGAGACAGTTCCAACTCCACAGCACACACGACAAAAATGAAGAGTGATGGAATTATGGCATAAAAAATATGTAGGATCCCATTTCTGAAAACAGGTAATAAAAAGACTGTGGCTTTTATATTGGATTCTATCTTTTGCTTGGGCCACTCACTCTTTGGAAAACTGTCTGCCATGTTGTGAGGCAGCCCTGGTATAAGAGGTCCAAATTAATGAAGTTGCAAGTGGATCTTCTGAGGTCTGCTGCCGTGTGAGTGAGCTAGGAGGCAACTTCTCCAGTTGAACTTGGGCATGACTATAACCCCGACTGACATCTTGCTTATAGTCTCATCAAGGATCCAGAGTCAGAATCACCCACTGAGATGGAATACTAGAAACTGGAGGAGCCGGGTAGACTAATCCATAATATGTTACACTTAATTAAAAGGCCACTTGTCTCTGGTGGTTCAAACCCACCAGCTACTCCTTGGGAGAAAGATGAGCAGTTTCTTCTCATTAAGACTTACAAACTCAGAAACCTCAAGAGAGGTGACTATGAGACTCTTCCATGAAAAGGGACATCATGCTTGGAAAGGTGCAGGGTCAGTGAAGGAAAGGAAGACCCTCAACAAGGTGGATCGATACAGTGTCTGTGGCAATGGACTCAAACGTGTTGAGGATGAGAATGGTGATGCAGGATAAGAACAGAGTTCAGATCTATTGTTCATAAGGTCTCTCTGATTCGATGGCGCTTAACAATAGTGAGTCAGAACTCACTCAGTGGCTGAGAGTGTTAATTTAAGAATCTATGGCGAACATTTTCACATGGGGTAAACAATTTCACCTCCTAGTGAAACCCATGTGAAACTAGTCACTAGAAGCTTAGTAAGTAAGTACAAATAAGTCTCTTTTTAACTTGCTCATTGGATAATCTACTGGCTCCCGGGTTTTGGATCCTTAGAACCAGCATAAAGTTATGAATGTTGACTATTTTAAACTGCTATGTTTGGGGACAATAGTTAATGGATATACTTTGTGACCAAGTGCCACCATGATTCTCTAAAGCTTTGAAGACTAGTCTTCCTCAGCCTTAAATTTATGAGCGGCTATTACATTGTAGTGCTTTATTTGTGCCTATGAGCTACAAAAATCATCAATATCACACGTGTTAGCTAATACATGTTGCAACTGAGGCCATTCAAGTCAACTAATCACCTGAGTACATGCTATAATTGCTCTCATTATTACTTATTCCATGAAAAAGATCAAGTGCTGGTTTAGTATGAGCTGTGAGTAGATAAGCCGTTGCATTAGCCTGTTAAGCAATTTGGAGACAAAGAGCCTAACTGAGAATAACTGCTGGCAGTGAGGCCCCAGCTTCTTCCTGCAAGAGGTAATAAAGATGAAAGTGCATTAAAGCAAAATGTTGTCTCTGCAAACTTGAAGCCAAACAGAAACAAAGGGGTAAAGTCACCTACACACCACACATCTTTCCCCAACCCACTGCAAGTGTAACAATCCCAATAGCACACACCTGGAGGCTGCGAGGATCCAGTGGCTGGGGCAGACCAAGCTGGGAAGAAAATAGGCTCTTCACGAGAGAGCTGCTCATTGGCGGTAACCCATGGTGCATGCCGTCTGTGACAGATTGGTAAGCAGAAACATTTCCAGCTGCCAAAAATGTTCTTCTAGAAAAATACAGGGGGAGAGTTCACTGAAAGTGGTTCTTTATGCTTCTAAAGTACAAAAATTCTTTCAAAGAATTGTGGCAAGATAGCATTTGGAGATATTAACAGGGGCTTCTTCCTTGGCCATTTTATCTTCAAATCCTCCTTTCTTTATGCACTGACCTTTATTACTGCCTTAATTCATAGCCCTCAAGGGTATGGAAGGCACTGCGGTTGTTGTTCGGTGCCATCCAGTCGAGTACAACTCATAGCAACCCTATGAACACCCATCTGAACCCTGTTCTCTGCTGTGCCATCCTCATCGTCTCCAACACCTTTGAGCCTCTTGCTGCAGTCACTGTGTCAATCCATCTCACTGAGGGTCTCTGTCTCTTTCACTGACCTCCCCCACTTTTCCAAGCATAATGTCTCTTTCCAAGGAATAGCATCTCCTAGAAACATGCTTAAATTATGTGGGATGAAGCTTCACCATCCTTGTCTCCAAGGAGCATTCTGGCTGCACTTTTCCCAAGACATATTTCTTTGTTTTTTTGTCCATCCATGGTATATTCAGTGCTCTTCTCCAATACCACAAGGCAAAGGTATCAATTCTTTCATTATCCTTATTAATTTTTAATATGTAGGCAAATGATTGAAAAGACCATGGCACAAGTCAAGCAGACCTTTATCTTTAAACTGACATAATTTCTCTACATTAATTTGGAGAGGCCCACTGACAGCAGACTTGCCCAATGCAATACATCTCCTGATCTCCTGCTGCTACTAAAGGTGTTGATTGTGGATCCAATTAAGAAGAAATAGTTGACAATTTCAATCTTTCCCCCACTTATCATGTTACTTATTGGTCCAGTGGTGGGGATTTTTATCTTCTTAGTGTTGAGATGCAATCCATATTGACAGCTGTAGTCTTTGATCTTCTGCAGCAAGTGTTTCAAGTCTTCCTTACTTTCAGCAAGCAAATTTCAGCCAAGGAGGGATACTCTAAACTATTTGCAATCGAATAGGTTCTGACTCTTGAGACCGCATTTGTGTTAGGGCAGAACTGTGCTATACAGAGTTTTCAATGACTGATTTATCTGAAGTAGATTTCCAGGCCTTTCTTCTGAGGTACCTCTGGATGGGTTCAAACTTGCAACCTGAACAACGGAGCACACAAGTTATACTCTAGTTCAGAATTATGGCTGCAACAAGGGGTTTAAGCACAGTCGAGATTATGAGAATGGCACAGGATCGGGCACTATTTCATTCATCTGTACGTAGAATTGCTATGAATTGGAGCCTAACAACAAGAAGAAACTAGCGAACTCCACTAAGATTTCCTGCTATAATGATATTGCTCTGTATTTGCACTCTCCACTCTGGCAGCCTCTAAGCTGTATGTGGATGTCAAGCCTTTACAATGTGAAAAACACAATGAAGAGACTGAATTTCTAATTTTTATTCATTTTAGTTGAATATCTACATGTGGTTATTGAACAGAGTGCAGGAGCTCTCATGCCCCAGTGGTAAGGAGTTTGCCTGTCAACTCAAAGACATGCAGTTTGAATCCACCAGCTGCCCCACCAGCGAATGAAAACCAATCTCCTCCCATGCAATTCATACTTAGGAAGACCCGCAGAAGGCTCAGTTTTGAGTCGATTCTGACTTGAGGGTACATAAAAACAGCAGGAGATGAAGCCTAACAAGAAGAAACTAGCAAATCCCAATAAGAGTTTTGGCAATAATGCTAATGCTTTATGTCTGTACTATCTAAATATGGAAGCAACATCTGCACTCTGTAGTATGCTGTAATAACAACAAGCTGCCAAGCACTTAAAATGTGGCTAATGCAGCTGAGAGATTGAATTTTTAATTTTTATTAATTTTAATTGAATAGCCAAGTGTGGATATTGAATAGTCATAGTGCAGTTGTAGCTCAAAGATATCAATTCTTGGATTATTTTAAGACCACTAGATGAGACAATAATTTTTATATGTAAAACCAAATTATATGTTAAATAATGAAAGTGTGGGATTTGACTATGGAAAGGAGTTTGGTGCTTCCTTAGAAAGTTGAGCATACCACTACTGGGAATATACTCTAAAGAAACCATAACTGCCAACCAAGCAGATATATGCACACCTATGTTTATTGCAGCTTTGTTCACAATAGCAAAGAATTGGAAACAACCCATGTGCCCATCAACAAACAAATGGATAGAGAAGCTCTGGTATGTTCACACAATGGAACATTATGCGGCATTGAAAAACAAGGAACTCATGAAATATTACACAGAATGGGTGACCCTGGAGGACATTATGCTGAGTGAAATATTTCAGTCACAAAAAGACAAATACTGCATAATGCCACTGTTATAAAAGAGAACTGACATAGGGGTTGGGGGGAGACTGAGATAGAGGGGATGAATAATGTATACTGCATTGAAACAAATGAGGGAGAGAACTGTTTAAAAGGGATGTATGATTAGGTATTATTGTCATGACAGGAATCCAGAATGAAGGCTGTATAGTGGAGTGGACTTGAGGGGAGAGATTGTATAACAATGAGAGAATTTTTCTTTTACTTTTCAAAAAGAAGAGCAAATGGGGTGGGGAGAGAGGAGGCAGGGAGAAAAGTGCAACAATGAATGAATGGAAATTCAAAGTATCTGTGAACTTTCATTAAAATTGATTTTAAAAAAAAGTTGAGAATAGAAATATCATTGGATTCAGCAATCTCACCTGTTCTTTGGAGGAGAATATCATGCATGTAAGGGTCAAGGGACAGCACAGGAGAAGACGACCCTGGATGAGATGGATTGACCCAATAACTAGGATAATGAGAGATGGTGTGTCAGAGACACATTGGCTCAGGACATAGTAGGATTCAGAGCTATTGTACATCGGGTTGCTATGAGTCGTAGTCAATTCGGTGGCACATAACACACATACAGAGAGCAATCTCACTACTTGATATATATCCCAAAGGAACAAGAGCTGACACACAGATACAAGCCATCATGTTCATTGTCACATTGTTTACAATATCAAATAGTTAGAAATGATCCAAGTGCCCATCAACAGATTAATGGGTAAAGAAAGTTTGGTCCATTTACACAATGGAGTATTATCCACACTAAAAGACAATAAAGAATTCATGAAACACTCCATAACATAGATGCATCAAAAGAACATGCTAAATTAAATAAATGAATCACAAAAGGACTATGGCATAAGACCACTATCATAAAAAGCTAAGGGAAGGTTTATACACAGAGAGAATAATTCTTGGATGGTTAATGGGAACTGAAAGGGAGAGAAGAAGAGGAGTAAGAATTAATAAATAGGCCCAGCAATAATAGCAAAGATCAACAAGGCAGCAAACAATAAATTCCAGCAAGGTTGTGGAGATTGGAACTCTTATTTACTGCTAATAGCAATGTAAAATGGTACAACTACTATGGTGGGCAGTTTGGTACTTTCTCAAAAAATTGGAAATAGAAATATCATCTGACCTAGCAACTCCACTACTGGGATCATATCCTAAATAAACCAGAACTGCAATTTAAACAGATATATGCACATCTATGTTTATTATTGCATTATTCACAATAGCAAAGAGATGGAAGCAACCCAAGTGTCCATCAACAAATGAATGGCTAGAAAAACTGGTACATTTGCACAGTGGAATATTATACAGCACTGAAAAACAATGAACTTGTAAAATATGATACAACATGGGTCAGGCTGGAAGACATTATATTATACTGAGTGACATATCTCACTCACAAAAGGACAAATACTACCTAACACTGTTGTTATAAAATAAGACTGACATGTGGAGTTGGGGGGAGAATTGGAGAAGAATGGATAGTAGTTGGGGGGAGAATAGGAGAAGAATGGATAGTGAGCCTGAATTGGAACAGATGAGGGGGAAATTGTCTGAAAGGAATGTATGCTTAAGCATTATATGTATGACAACAGTCTGAAACATGAGATGCATTGTGAAGTGGACTAGGGAGGTGGAAGTAAGGAGGAAGGAGGAAAATGTGCAACAATCAATGAATGAAAATGCAATCTTTCTGTAAACCTTCAATAAAAGAATAATTTTTAAAAATTAAGTACATGAAATTTTAAAAAAGAAAATATAGATAATCTGGATGAAGGGAAAGATACAATAAAGCATTGGTCATACAGTGTAATTAATTATATTATTTAGTGTTATGAAATAAATTAAGACAAAATCAATGTGCATGAATCAAACACAATGTAAACAAATTAATGTATGTGAACCAATAAAATTATAAAAAAGAAATATGTATGAATGATCAATGAAAAACCAATATTATTTATAAACTTTCACCTAAGAATAATAATGGAGTTTGAGAGAGACATGCTTTTGTTCAAAAAGAAAATGTTTTTATTTTGTTTTGACTTTGGCCAAGGACCAAAATCCTTGAAGACTAAAGCATGACATTTACACAGTTAGTCAGAGAACATAGTAAGTGTGAATTTCTTTTCCAAAAGGTAATACAAATTTAGCAAGCCTGGGAAAAAACTTTCTAGATCTACTGGGTAACTAAAAAATAATAATGTTGACACAGAAAAGTTGCTGAGGGGAAAGAGGACGTGTTAGGAAACTCAGAGCCAAAAAGACCTTTTACCTGGGTCCTCCATGGGTGCCACCCAAGTCTCCTGTCTAACAGAGCTGAGAAGCAGAGCAGCAGTGGCTAGGGGAGATGTCAGAAATAACAGAGTGGTAAATACGAATTTCTCTCTCTCTCTCTCTCTCTCTCTCTCTCTCACACACACACACACACACACACACACACACACACACACACACAGGGTGGGGTAGCAGCAACAACAGAAACGAGGTAGCTTCTCTATGACTCACATGTCTCCAAAGTGTAGAGGAAAGACTTGGAAGGTTCCAAGCCCTTACATCCCACAAGTGGGGCCCAGGAGCGGAATAGAGCAACAGGTCAAATCTGAGCAGCTCAGGTGGACCTGCTCACTGC